AACATAAAAATAAAGCAAATCTTCGTATCCTAGGGAGTATCTTCTGTGGATAGGTTAATTTGCTTCTGCCTTGGACACCACTATGTTGTGGAGATATTACAGTGTACCATCTGCCTTGTGAATATAAAATTGTATCAATAAATGTGTAATTTTTAGACCACTTCAATACACTTTTAATTTCCAGACATGAGTCCTATGTTCGCTTTATGAATATTACAACCAGGTTGTATTAATAGTTATACATATTTCACCTTTGAAGTCATTTGTGGCATATCTACATTTTCTTTGGTAGTGTATTTTTAGTGTCTTTTGGAGGGAACACTTTTTTATAAAGGTGTTTTGGGTGTATAGTGATTTCTTCACTTTGTTGAGCACAGGTGAGCAGTTACATGATGCTAAAAAACATGAAGGAAAGTACTGGCGCTTTAAAATGCAGACTTTTAGATAAATAGTATCTGTACGTTTCAACTGTAGCAGCTATAACACTTAAACGTTTAACCCTCCAAGAAACACCCGAAATGACAAAGTAACAACAAAAAGAAGTGTAGCACTAATTTAAAAGATTATGAAATGTCAAAATACTTATCCTCTTTGTGGATATTTTATAGAGTTTCCAATTAAACCTTAAGTATAACCATCAGTGTACATCCAATTATCAGATTCATTTTCTAAAAGTATAAAAAATACAACATAGTGCAAACCATATAATGAAGAAGTAGGAATAAAAAAAGAATATGTACTGGACACTCAAACAATGAGCTATAAAACCTAGCTCCGGTGTAGTTCACGTTTGGTCTGTTAAGGCGACTCCCTATAGGAGATGAATATCCAGTCCCAGGGGAAATAAATGAAGCCCAAATGGAGTAGTAAAGTTACAACAAGTAAATTGTAAGCCAAATACTTACACCGTAGAGCCCCTATGGCTTTGCAGTAATGTATTGTGCAATTCGGGACTACACTCCCTCTTTATATAGGTGATACCGGCAACCAAGGTAAAATAAAGTTTAATTTATCAATACACTTTAAAATATACAAATAAAAAAGGAGCAATGTATTATATATATATATAGTTCCAAAACGCGTTTCTGAACCTCAAGCTTCCTTAGCAGGGTTAAAATATAAAAAAATTACTTCTCTTAAAAAGATCTTTTTAATATCACATAACCGTCACAAAATTCTTATACGACTATGTCTGACTTTTATAATGTTATATATTTTCAGAATACCATGTATCCCTATACATATATCTATTTTACACCTATGGAATTGCCATTTATAATTGTTTTTTACTGTAATTAGTTTTTACAATACTAAATGTACCATTCAAACTACTAATCATGACAATTTCTTGAATCATTTGTACTACTAAGGACATCTGTGGTGAACTAATTAACACAGGCAACAGTACCAATATACTTTAGCCATCAATTAACATATTTGATATTACTAATCTGCACTATATAATTGTCTAATTTTAAATGTTACATTATTAATTATATATTATTTATACATATTTTACTACCAAGTTCACCATCATATACATAATTTTAAAGTATAAGATTATCCCATTTAACGCCAGCTAAATATAAGTATTTAGCTTCTTTAAAAAAAATAACATCTTATAAACAATTTCTCCATTATAAAAATATTAAATGTATTTTCACTTTTACAAGTTATGTATATGACAAAGGATACCTATGTTAAACTTTCTATGTTTATGTACAAGTACCGTTTTTAATATGTTCTGTATTCAACAAGCATGTACAATTCGTACCATAACGGGTTAACAAAGCCAAAAGGACTTAGTCGGCTATTTAAACCCAATAGCTGTACTTGCGTGCCAGCCTCTGATGAAGTGAGAGATTACTCACGAAATGCGTAAGGACAGGACACTTTTCGGCACTTACAGCAAACTACCGAGCTGTATTTAGAACGCAGAAGAGGTGATCAGTGACACGCACGCAGCACCATACAGTTTTATCTACCGGCTGAACTGCAGGACCTGTGATAACTACTACCCCCAACAAGCCTTTCCACAAACACTTGGTAGAATTCTGCAAATTGTGAGTGCATTTTAATTCAGCTATTTATTAAAGCATTTAACTCAGTAAGCACTATGGATCTTCACTTTATTTCTTTGTAGAACAGAGGAAATATCCATAACTTAAGTTCATATATGATCTTAAAGTCCATTAATTTATATGCAGTGTACATATTATTGATACCACAACATTTGAAGATGATATCACTGTTATTGTACTATATACAAATAGCTTGTTCAGTAGATAAACCCCAGCTGGTTCAATAGTTGGAGCTAACTAATAGCTAACATTGCATAAACTGTATCAACATATTTTGATAGTTGTATCAAACAGAGACTACAACTATTGAAAACATTGGGACTTTTATACATTGGCATTCTAATAGAATTGTATTAAGTTATAATCAGTTTTATATATATTTTATTTCACCCATTTATGGAATACTGCTCTTACTCTTAAAGGTATATATAATTTACTACTACTGGATACCCATTAGATTATATCGAATACGTACTCATTTTGCATTTTGTTTTAGTGGGAGTCCAGTAGAGTGGAATCTCTAGCCATACTATCTACTCCAAATTTGAGGCCTCCAATCTCAACCACAAACACAAGGTAAAATAAAAGTTGAATTTATCAATTACACTTTAAAATATACAAATAAAAAAGGAGCAATGTCCATATGCATAGTCCCAGAACACGTCTCACCACCTCAAGTGGCTTCATTAGCAGGGTAAAAATCCAAGTGTCCTTCCGTTTGCCGTATCGTGTTTATATACCTCCTTAATAGGGGGATAATAAGGTTGTGTAAAACCACCTTAACTAATTATGGAGTGTTGTCGCGGTCCAAGCCTAGTTTTGAAATGGTGACGCTGAGTTATGGCATTTCTGTTTCATTGTGTATGTAGGTCAAGCCTCAATTAGACTATTTTTTCAATATCAAAGTTGTTCTATTAAATGTATAATTTTGGGCTAAAAAAATAGAGGTAGTCTTATACAAGGAAAAATGCGGTAATTAATAATGGGAAGGAATCTGTGGTCTCTCCTCTCCCCCCCACTTCCCCTCCCAGGCAGGCAGTTGGGGATCCTAAGTTTAGTTGTGTGGCACAGGTGTGGGATTTTAATAAAAAATTTTGCCACACTGTGGGGGCATGTGTTGTGCTTTATTAAATTTGGTTTACTAATATGAAGTAGTTTTTACTTGGTAAAATTGTATGAAAGACCAATTTTGGTCTTTCAGCTTTTTAGTAGATTGCTCCCTAATACTTTTGTGATTTAGAGAACTATCTACTAAGAAGCTGCAGCCCGTGTCGGAATTTCATTCCCAGAATGAAATTCCTAACCGTAAAAATTACTAAATGGGCTATCCGAAACACAAATAATGTCAGAATTTCATATGAAAACAGTGTAATGGACGTATTTCAATTCAGACAAAACTAATTTTTTTTTCTCGTCCTAATGCATTCAGACGAAATTAAATTTTTTCCCCGTGCTCAAATAGGCAGGCCTAGTTTCTTTCTGTCATTCCTAGACCATGTTTGGCAAGCTATTAATATTTTAGGCCATTCTTATACCATTCTTATCGTCAGTGAGACTATAATGAATAGAGTGAAAACCTTCCGTGCGTCTGAAGCGCTTCCTGGTTCAAAAAGATGGAGACAAAAATAAAGTACCGTATATACTCTAGTATAAGTCGAGTTTTTCAGCACATTTTCTGTGCTGAAAACCCCCACTCGACTTATACTCTAGTCAAGGTCTGTATTATGGCAACTTACATTGCCATAATACAGACCAGGACTGCCGGGCTCATTACAAGCCCGGCGGTCCTGTTGGGGGCAGGCAGCAAGCTGTAACTTACCTTTCCTGCAGCTCCCTTCTCTCTCCTCCGGTCCGTCAGCTCCACTGTAAGTCTCGCGAGAGCCGCAGGGTCAGAGCGTTGCCACGGGTTATCATGGCAGCGCTCCGCGCAGCACTCAGACAGCGAGACTTGCAGTGGAGCGGACAGGGCAGCTGACCGGACCGGAGGAGAGAGAAGGGAGCTGACAGGAGCTGCAGGAAAGGTAAGTTACAGCTCGCTGCCAGCCCCCCTCCTACACAGCCCATCCACTGGACAAAAATAAATTAAATATTAAAAAAAATAATAATTTAAAAATTTTTTTATAAAAATGCCAAACTCCCCACCAAGGCTCTGCATCACACACACACACTGCATTCATTATATACACACACTGTGAATAAATATTCAATTAATATAATTTTATTTAGAAATTTACCAGTAGCTGCTGCATTTCCCACCCTAGTCTTATACTCGAGTCAATAAGTTTTCCCAGTTTTTTGGGGTAAAAGTAGGGGTCTCGACATATTCGGGTCGACATACTCGAGTATATATGGTAAGTCTCTTTTTTGTGTGTGTATGTTAATGCTTTATCTTTAGAATACATAAAACAGAGCACCTAAATAATATATCTGTGTAATTTTACCCATTTACTTTAGATTGTAAAATATGTAACTTAAAAATGGATGCCCCAAACCTTGCTTCAAAACAACTCTAGACAATTTTGGCTTACTGTATACATCAGTAGAAATTATGGATGTAGGTACTGCTAAATTTCACCCCCCTCTTTTTATGTTGCTTTTTTACTTGTTTCAGTAGTCTGTTTAATGATCACTGTACAACTCTAATCATAGGATCACGTTATAAAGATCCATTTAACGTCTAGATTTGGGAAATCATTTTTGGTGCCAGTCATAACATTTGCCTGAAGAAGCCAGTTGGAAAAAAACAAGTAGGCTAGGGTTTTGTTTCAACAGTAAGGAAGTATCTTCCAAATATTTTCTCTTGATTCTGCTAACATCCATCTTTGTAACATATCACAGATGTTACTCCAGATAATGTTCCAGTAATAGAGACTGTTCTAATACACAAAAAGGAAAAATACCTTTAATTATGCAGTGAACCATATACCTTTGCACACTATTTTCCAGGATGGGGAGGGTGGGGGTGATAAGAGTAATGATGTCAATTTTTTTTCTTAAACTCAAACGAACATAATGTTACATATGTACACACATTATAAAATAATTTAAAAAATAATTCAATCACAAAAACAGTTGCAGGTTGAATGTACAGTTTACTTCAAAAAAGGGATACATACATGAGGGAACATTGGGTAAAGACCAGTTCTGATAAACCATTTCTGCTAATTGTATCTCAATAACAGAATGGCTGGCTGTGGCAGTTTTATTCCTGCTGGCATACACTTGCTTACAATATTAACAGGACAGTGAATAAAGGAACATTTTAATTTGTATGGCCTGAAAGGAAATCATGATTATATTATACACAGTGTGAGTTTTTAGTACACGGCATCAGGTTATTTTCTTATTTGTATGACATACTCAACAGCAGGGAGGAGAGAAGTTAACAATAACTAACACTATAATAATCAAATTTTGTATGTTATACATGTACAGCAACTAACTGCTTTACAAAAAAGCAAAATAATACAATATATTGTCACATGTATTTACAGTGTAGTAAATATACTTTTCTGTCAAATTTTACACAAAAAATATTTACAGATGAATGTACTGCATTAAAAAAAAATAATGTGGCTAACACTTAAAAGTTACTTTTTGTGGTAGTCTGTTGCATAACATTGGGTAAGACATGCTTAGAAAAGGATAAACTCAGAAAATAAAGCATAAAAGCCTTACACGCAAACAGATTAATAGGAATAGAGGACAGTGTGTGTGTGTGTGTGTGTGTGTGTGTGATTTTCTATGAGCCCACATGTCTGAACATCAATATGCACATCAAAGTCAATGCAGTTCCAAATTAGATATATTTTAGTCTGCAAAAGTCCTCAACTTTAACTGGGCAATTTGCAAACAGTGTATCAAAGCTATTCGCTAAACCTAGAATGTAGGCCAAATTGAATATCCAAATTGCAAGGATTTGCCAACTCCACAGTTTTACAGAAGATAAAAAAACAAAACAAATCTAAACAGAAAAAGAAATTCTAAAGGCAGTTGAAATTCTACAGATATTGAGAGAGAGGAACACACAAATATGTTTAAATCTACACACTAAAGAATATTTTGTAGCCAGCTGGCAAGGTTTCATGGGAACTAGCAGACGTTGGGAGTAATCTCAGCTCTGGATGTACCTTTTGCACTGCTTTAAAAAAAGAGATACCATTTGCAGCACAGGACAACAGCAACAAGAATTAATAAATAAATAATTGTGAAGTAAGAGGCTAAGATGGCCCATATATTTTAACTAGCTTTATAACTTTAGTAAGCACCTACTCCTCTCAATAATTGAAAATTAAAACTAAAGGAAAGAAATGAGACATTGATCTACTATACAGAATAAAAATAAATAGGTAAGCATGTGATATATTCGCTATAAAAAAAAAACAAACACTTTATAAAAAGTATAGTAATCACAAAGACAGACATTTGAAATAAAAAAAAATTAACGAAACATACAGGCAGCATGGTAGGAATACTAGTTACGTTTTTAAAAACCTCAATGCCCTCTTTTCACATGCCATTATCTGTAACCAGTCATGATATATAAATAGATGACCTACTAGTTCTGTCTTATAAATCCAGATGACTGATTATAGATATAGGAAAAGCTTAAATAAAGGCTATTAAAAATAAAATTCAACTAACAAAACTCCCTGTTTAGCTCGTGGTGATTTACAAATTCTCTCAACCAAAAAATGTGAATCATTCACTTAAACAGCTGCATAGTAAAGACAAGGGCCAAGGAAGATAAGCACTCTTGGGGACTTAAAAGTTCGGGGTTGGTAATATCCAGTATGCTACAACTCTAGGAAATGAAACCTGTTCTCACAAACTAAGAGTACTAAAGTGTAATTCAGTTTTCTTTCTGTATTAATGGCATAAAGATAATTTAACACGTAGAATATGAAATTTTAAATATATAATCTAAAGAAGACCAGCAACCAAAAATACAAAAATTACAGCTGACAAGGTTATTTTTAGGCAGGTAAAAATGTAATCCATGCATTAGTCTGCAGTGATCTATGTATTAACATTTATACATTTCTGATGTTTACTTCCTCATAGATGTTGAAAATAAATTAATGTGATGTTATAAGCAAGGGATTGCGAGATGCAGACAAATCACTTAATAGCAATGCAGCTGTGAGGGAACCTTACAGCACTGACACTATATTCCTTAACACTATGCCAAATAGCACAGAGGTAAGGTCTAATTAAAACCTAAAAATTTAAATTATATCCTACATCTGTACAACATTATCATGATACCTGCACCTTAGATCTGTGAAATGAAGGTTTGTAGGAAATAAATATATATATATATATATATATATATATATATATCTCTATCTATATGATGTGCAGGTTAATGTCCTCTATGTTGCTCTTGTTTATTATGGGTTGTAAGTGTTAAGTATATATGTCAGTTATTGTATCCAAGTAACAAAAATTTGTTTATGGATGTCCTCAGTATCTTCTGTTGTGTTATTTGCAAACACATAACTAAACAAAAGTACATTGGATTTTGGCAGACTATTTGCATAATATGTTTCTGTCCATAGTTTTTTTTCTTCAGGACTGTAAACAAATTAAAAACAAAAATCACTTAATAAAACAAATAAAATAAGACATTTATTTACAGCTGTGAATCACCACAGTTTATTCTATGATTAAATGCAGTTTATAATGTGCTATTATATTTAAATCCCAACACTAATTTGTACCATTCTCATATTTGTTTAGCTGTGGAGTTTGATTTACTGATAGACACTTAAAATTACACTACAGTTTTATTATCTATTGATTGTTTTTATATTCCCTTACATTGTGTGTATAATTATATATATATATATATATATATATATATATATTTAAGTTTTTACTTTTTTGCATTTCAACACTAAAGCCATTCACGTTTAAATTTTTTTTTAAACTAAGATCCCCTTATTATAATAGCATTATATATATATATATATATATATATATATATATATATAAATATTTTTTTCCAGCAGTAAATGCATAGCCCTAACTATGAGCACCTAGATATAACATTTCCCTTTTTGCTCACATTTGCCAAAAAGGATTTTCCCCCTCTGAGAATAGAAAAATCTGGACAAGACTTACTAAGTGACTTTAATCTTTGTCTATAAGAAGAAATCCAAAGAGAAGGTAATGCCTATGTAATGTTTACTTTACTCTACTTTTAGGTTTGCTTTTCTCTAGTGGGGCACATAATGCACATAACAGCTGCAAATGAGCACCGACTCACTGATAATCCTTTAAAACTAGCACAGAACACAAGTCTTTTGCGGTCATAACACATTTAGATTATTCTGAATATCCCTTTCTGCAAAAAAAAAAAAAAAAAGTCAATACAATTGGATTTTCATTAACAATGCAGTAATCTGTATTCCAGTGATCCCTGAATTTGTTCCATGTAATAATATAAAAAACATGTCATGGGTGATTGGAGTAAATATAGTAAAAGGTTGAAAGAAGTTTAGGACAGTGACAATCCCCATTCAATGATTAAGTCAAAGCAAATCTTGCCTCCATTCTTAAGCACAAGAGTAATTAATATAACCCTGCTTTATAATAATATGAGAGACCATATTTTCTACAACAGCATGTGTGTTTCACAAATGTGTATAGTGAATACCCAAAAATGGATCAAGCCATCCATTTATTATGCATCTATAATGCTCCCAAGTTCAGCAAATTATAACTGCTGAATGTATTTATAAACTAATTTACTCTGAACTTGTATGTTTTTTAGGCCTAGTAAATATATTTGAGTAGTGGCTAAACCATCTTTTTAAATAAGCAGGTAAACAATCTGAATGTTTAAACAAATGATAGTATTTTTGATTTTATAAAACACATTTTCAAATGAGACTGCATGGAAGCTCTAAAAACTAAGCAGTATTTCTATTTTTAATCCACATTAACATTTAAGACTGGTACATGAAAGAAAAGGAAAAAAAAAAAAACTTCAGGTCAACATTTTTACAACCCTGATTTGGAAAAGAGCAATTTATATTTATTAGAATATTAACAAAATTACTACAATTGTGTTTGAACTGAAGGAAGACTTAGTTCAAGCTGTTTCCACGAGGAACACAAGTGGAGAAAAAAAAAAAATCAAGACAATGTTTTTTTATGTTTAATTTACATTGAGCTTCTTCAGCAAGTGCAGCTTTCCATCTGTTCTAAAGTACCGTTTGATCTTCTGCACACAGAGCTTAATATCAGTTGGTGTAATATTGCACAATAAATACATCCAGTACCGCTATTTATCTTGACAGTGGGGCGCACAGGGTGCTCTCTTTTAGTCTAAATTAATATACCCTATCTATGCTAAGGAGTTCATCTTATATACAAATTAGACTTCAGGACAGTTCAATGTTAAAATCTTAAAAGTAGAAATCAGTTTAAGCCCTTTTACTACTAAGATGCAACCAATGAACACACCACACTTTCACCTGGCTAAGTTAGGTATATGGGTGCAAAAATGCGTGTATTACACCTTTATCAAACTATTTCATTCTACAAAACATCCTGTCTTTTAGAAGTAGTGCAGCATAAGGACAGAATTCACTCATATGTATTTAAACTTAACGAAATGCCTCAATATTCATGTACATTTAAATGCCTCTCTTGAGCATCTCAAGCATTTAGAATCTACACATTATAAATACAAACCTAATTAATTTATTATCCAGTTCTAGCAAACCAGAAATTGAATTAGTATTGTGGACCCCCTTCTGACAGTATCCAGATGTATCTACATAAGTACCATGATGAAAATAAAATTTGAAAAAGGCAACAAACAGGGGCTTTTACAAAGAACAATTTGATGGCAAAAGTGAGGAAATAACTATCGAGAGCAATGGAATGTTCCTGCTGATTGATGCACTTTTACAACGGTGCCCCAGAATTGTTCTTATAAACAACCCCAATATCTTTATTGTCTTTGGAAAGTAAGTCTTTAAGCCAAACGGTAAAAAAAAATCCACAGCTAAAAGATTTTAAGGGGATTTTCAAATCTGAGATTATTTTCCCACTAAAGCCACTAGAAAGAATTAGCATTTATTAAAAGTGAAATAAATGATAAAACATGGAGAGAACGCCCCATCCCACCCCCCAAAAAAGTAAAACAAACTAAACAAGGCAAAAATACAAAATTAATAATTAAAACGCCACTAATGTTCAGACAGAATGCAGTAAAGGCAGGGCCCACCTCAATTCTACAAAATCTTTCATTCGGAATTCACAAATTGATGATCTGCTTGTGACCATGGTTCCCTTCACACAAATAGGAAAATAAACAAAAACAAAAAAAAGCCAAGGAAACCAAATGGTGTTGAGTTCAAGCAATGCTCTCAAAGCGTTGATCTTCTGGCAACATGGCTGACTGCATGGGAACGTTAAAAAAATTAAGTGCAGCATCATAATGTGCGTGAGGCCATTGGAGAGCCACCCGCTTAGGTAAGTCAGTTTTAGAAAAGGAGCTGTAAAATAAATAAAAAGGATAATAAAAAAAAATTCACACAATCTTTTTAATGCTGTGACGTTTGAAGCTGCCAGCACTTCTCTGCTTTTGCACTTGGCTTGCTGAACCGTGACGCGTTCTACCACTGTTTGAGTGCCCGGTGGTGGGAGACAATTCCACATTTTCCTTGTCAATACCTGGGATGAAAACCAAAATAAGAGAAAAGTAGGTTATTGGTCAAGCCTTTGTCCCACTTTAAATATGAAACAAATACTTTTAATAAAAAAAGACAAAAAAGAATTTATCACAGACTTTCCCAGAAACCATCAGAGAGCAGATAGAGGCTGAACTCCACCTAGGACCTTAGTTAACTAATGACAACAATAAGTTGATTAACAATCTTTAAATTTTTTTTAAAGCTGTATTTCCTGAATAAAATATGCTTCCTGAATAAAATTCCACTGTTTTCATTTTACTTCTACCGCATTGGTGCATGCCTATTTAAAAAGTTCTTGAGGTAAGGCACTTTGGTTTTAACAATGATTTCACATTGTTAAAGGAACAACATAAGCACCAAATCAACAATAGCTTGAGTGTTTTAATATATAGGGGACATCCCTGCAGTCTAACTGCTCTATTTTCTACCATTTAGGAGTTAAATCACTTTGTTTATGCAACCCTAGCCACACCTCCCAGCATGTGATTTATAACTAAATAAAACTTCTAAAGCATACACCCTATGCTGTCAGATCTGATTGAAAATAAAACACTTTCTAATGTAGGCTGAGTGAGTCACAGTCAGGGAAGGTATGCCTTGGGTTGCATAGACAGAAACAAAAATGATTTAACTCTTAAAGAAATTGGCAGAGAATTTTGCAGTGGGACTGCAGGAGCATGATCTACACACCAAAACGGCTTCTAGTTGAAGTTATTTTGGTGCTTATAGTATCACTTTACATATAAGGCAGAAAAACATAAAATAATTGTCCTGGACTTTAAATCAATATCTTCAACTATAGATGGTGGAGACAGGTTAATATATGGATTGAGAGCAGCTAACCAACAAAAACAAACCACATGATAAACACAAAGCACTATGAATAAATTCTGATTAAATCTATTTATACATTTTTTTGTGTGTGGAAACCCCCATCCCTCCCCCTCATCAAATAGAAGAAAAAAAGGGAAGGTAAAAATTGTGGTTTTAGAAAGAGGCTTTAAGACCAATATGAGGGATTCCACCTCCATGTTTCTATTATATGCTAGCCTACATTACATGAAGCAGTTTTATATTGGAAGTTTTCTTGAAGATACAGTATGACGAGATTCAATCTTTTCTGGCATTTTCACATCTTAAACCAGGGAAGGGCTAAAGCCTTTCTTTTACTGGCTGTAACTGCAAACTATTTGTGTATTACATTCTCTGCTTGTTGTGTCAGATGCAAACTCATTTAAGATCACTTGTTGAGGCATGAGAGCTCAAAATGGAAGGATAATTTGAGGGTCACAGACACCTGGGTGTAGTTTAATTGAGATTAACTATCCACATCTTGCTCCCCTGCCTTTATACATCTGCTCCTTTTATATGCCCCACCTTTAAAGGGTCTCATAGGATACCTAGTTCTCAAAACTCTGGGGGGCACTTGACCCCACCCCTGGATTTTTCTGCAATTTTTCGTGTGATTGAAAATGAACTGCAATACCGGCGCTGGCCAGTAGATGTTGTTGTGTATGGAGAGAGACAGGGATAGGAAGCTGCAGGGGAGAAACACATGCAGGCAACAGAGACAGCCTACAGATCAGGTAAGTGAGGGATGGGGGAGGGTTTGAGATAGCCTATAAATTAGGGGAGTGAGGCGGGGGGGCAGCAGCCTATAGATTAGGGGAGTGAGGGGGCAGCAGCCTATAGATTTGCAGCAGCCAGGAGGCTGGGGCAGCAGCCTATGATTAGGAGTGAGGCTGGGCAGCAGCCTATAGATTAAGGGAGTGAGGCTGGGGAGGCAGCATCCTATAGATTAGGGGAGTGAGGGTGGGGGAGTCAGCATCCTATAGATTAGGGGAGTCAGCATCCTATAGATTAGGGGAGTCAGCATCCTATAGATTAGGGGAGTCGGCATCCTATAGATTAGGGCAGTGAGGCTGGGGGGGGCAGCCTACAGATTAGGGGAGTGAGGCATGGGGGCAGCCTACAGTGATTAGGGAGGAGGCTGGGGCAGCTCATACAGATTAGGGGAGGAGGCTGGGGGGCAGCCTACAGATTAGGGGAGTGAGGCTGGGGGGGCAGCCTACGATTAGGGAGAGGCTGGGGGGCAGCCTACAGATTAGGGGAGTGAGGCATGGG